AGAGATGGACGGGAAAGTGAGAAAGATGGCAATAGGAAGCAAAGCTGATTAGTTTTTCAAATTCCAGACAGAAGCAGAAAGTAGCATCACTAGCATCATCACTGCTTCAGAGAGAGTTGTAGGAGGTGGGCCACCCAAGTAGGACTGGAACAAGAAATGCTCCACACACCAAAAGAGCATGCTGACCTCAACCTTCAGAGTCTGAATGTCACTTCTTGGACTTTTCTTTTTATCTCACCCAGACCATGACCTCACCACTGAACACTAAGCTATCATTTCCAGGACTGACACTGACCTCCACAACTTCCAACCTTATAGACCCCAAACAGACACTTTTACCTTCTTCCCAAAATCCACTAACTGGACTGCTCCAGCAGACAAACATTTTCAGTCTGTTCCTGTCCCACGGAACTTATTTCTTGCTATCTTGATCCTTTCCTCTCCACCGATCAATTTCTTCCCACTTACATTTGTGGCTCTTCTGATGTTTTATGTCAGATCTACAATTTCCAGATTGCTGGCCCTGGCTGCCTCTTCACCTTTGATGTACTTTTTCCATATTTTGTTTTCATAATTCCTCTTTAGTTAGATGTTTAAAAACCTAGAATCATGCACAATGACCTTTCTTGAATCCTTTACATGGCATCTAACCTTCCTAAGAATGGTGAATACAGTTAGAAAAAATACTATATGCGTACTCTTAGCTTACAAAGTACTGGCAAAACCCAAGTCCAAGTGGGCATAAATAGATTTCTCTATACACACGATTTATTTTTACAACTGCGACTTAATGCTGTAGTAACAAATTCAACACTGGCCTATTATTTCTGAATCTTTCTGCTAAGCCAGATTATTCTTGTTTGAGTAACTAGCATATTCAAAGTGTTCAATATCATGAAGTGCTTGCAGTAAGTACTGTTCGGTACATTATAACCATGATACACAATTACTTCTTCACAGTAGCATCTAAAGATACATCATGTAGTACAAGTATTATCTCCACCGATGACACTGGAAGGGGGAGACTTTTCATACAGGATTGCAGTTCAGTCTTCCCAAGATAGCAGTGCCAGCAAGTTCGGCAGCGTTCGGGTTTCTGGGCCCGTATGCTCCAGACAACTGCTTCCTCCCTTCTTTCTTTATCCTTTTAGTCCTCGTTTTCTTCATCTTTTTCATCTTCCACCTGTTGGTGGTGGGACAGGAGGAGAACATTGTGGAGGAGGGTAGCACAAGCAGGACTCTTGGCAAAGTGACAGCCTGGCCTGGCAGCACAGCCACAGATTCCTGGATGTGGTAGGCCCAGACCAGGGGCGCCTGGTCATTGGTGAGGCAGCCGCAGAGCCAGGAACTCCTGGTTGTGGTAGTCCTGGAGCCGGGGCCCCCTTTTGCAGGCTGAGTGGGGGTCCAAGCACGGGGCCTGGCATCGGTGGCCCGTTGGCGAGGTGGATCCACCACAAACTGATGGCACATCAAAGTGTGGCGATTCTGACAGCAGGTATGGTGCAGGGGGTGGAGGCTCAGGGGGTGGAGGCTCAGGTGTTGGTGGTCAGCCGGTTCAGGATTCAGGACTCATGGCGGAGGTGGTGGAATGAAGATGGACTCTTTCAGTGAGAGATAGTAAGAACTGCCGATGCTGGAGTCAGAGATAACACAGTGATATCTTTTCAGTCTTAAACTATTCAAAACGGCACCGGATTGTGGTGACAGTTGAAGCTTTTCACTGTATTTTACTGTGTTGCTCATTATAGAACACAAGTGACAATAAATCATTTATTCATTACAAATGTATTATAGCCAACACATTCAGTTAAAACTGTCTTACATCATTTGTCCTTGAAGCAAAAACAAGTATATTGCACTGAACATGAACTCAAGTGGACTATAACAACATCAATAGTATTACACACCATATCATTCCGCACAATCTATGCTGCATCCCCTGCAAACCAATACATCTTTCATGAGGGTCAGTGTTCAAAACCAAAAAAAAGCATAACTTGGGGTTTTGTACAACAATAATCTTACTTTCACACTTGCTTGCAGAGCAAGCTTGAGGGTTGAAGAGCCTACTCCCACACTGAAGTCTGTTTTCACTTTTGTTTTCCACCTTCTTGAAATAAGGCCAACATTCCACAATACTATACATGCCTCTATGATGTAAATTATCCAAGAAATGCAAACAAAGTTATTATTTTAACCAATAAACACCAGAAGTTAAAAACTGCCTTGATGGCTTACCATACATAGCATGTGTCTGTTCAGCAGCAGGATACTGTGCTGTAGATGAAGGGACCATTCCTGGTTGCCCATGACCAGGCGGTGCCATCATTCGAGCATTACTCTGCATTACTTGGCTGTACATCTGAGGCTGCAGAATGAAGCTATCATCAGTAAAATTAAGTTTACACACAAGGATAAAATAGCAATGTTTCCACTGGACAGATGTCCATTGTATTGCTTACATATTTTAACAATGGAGTTGATGTACTGTAAATCTCCAAAAAAAAATCAGCTACCATAGCAAGTACAAATCAATAGACAATGCATTGATTTTATAACATAAATGCAACACAATGTTCTCTAGTCATTACAGCATTTAACTGTAATTTGCAGTGCTAGTTTAGCAAAGAACTACTCAAATATTGTAAGTTAAACTCAAAAAGTACCTTTGTGGGAAAGTTTTGGCAATTTACCTGTGATTGATAATGTGCTACAGACTGTACAAGGGGTTGGTTAGGAAACTGTTGAGGGTTATAAGTAACATATTGTGAATAAGCTGGAGCAGTCGAAACAATCTGGCCAGCTGCACTAACTGGATGCATTATAGTTGGTGTGCCCTGAGGGTGGTGCTGATCTGGTCGCTGTTGCGGCATGGTTGGTACTGAAAAAAAAACAATTAGTGAGATTGCAGTGATCTTCAACATCTAATCAAAAACTGTGCAAGGAAAATTGATCAAAGGATAATTTGACAGTCAACACAAACGATTAAATTGCATAATGATCAGATAAATAAGAATGGATCATTTCTAAAAAGATAAATGCTGAGCATCAGTAAAAAAAATAATCATTTATCTCAACACTTAACAAGTCAAGGTGCACATATCCATCTAAGGACAGGTGAAGAAATTTTCATCTCAATTTTAAATGGTTGATTCATTATCCTTAAACTATAGCTCGTCTTTCTAGATCAAGGCAGGAGAGAAACAGCCACTTAGAATTTAACCAATCAAGTCACTGAAAGATTTTATAAATTTCAATGAGCTCTCATTCAGCTAAACTTCAGTTAAGAAGTCCATTCTACTTCATCTCTCCTCATAGGTTGACCCTTTCAACACAGGAATCAATCTAATACACCTTTATTGTATTCCCTCTAAGATAGCTATATCCTCTATTAGGGATGGAGTCCAAAACAGTACACAATACCTGACGTGTAGTCTCACAAAAGCACTATATTGCTTCCTTACTCTTAAACAGCAAGTCCCCTGTAAGAACAGCAGGTACCATATCCCTTCCCAATTCCTTTCGGTATGTGATTGTGATTTATGCTCAAGTGCACCAAAACCCATTTAAATATCAACGCTGTTCAACAGAATTTCAATTTTGCTAAACTTTAGAAATCTGGTTACTGTCATGTGATACAAATATGTGTAATAATTATAAAAGAAATGCACAATCTTTGGAAAATAGATCTGAAGTTTTAAACCATCAGCAATTAAGAATGATACACTCTTTTTTCAAATCACCAATCTTCATAACCAAAGTCCTTCAACCCTGAATCATTGTGCAAATAAACCTTGATTTTATCCTCAAGTCTTCAGATCCTTCTCAAAGTATATTATCTGTAATTGGACACAATATTCCAGTTAAGACCAAACCAGTGTCTCAGATGATCATCGTAACATGTTTGTTTTTGCACTCAATGTCACATATTTATAAGACCCAGGATCACGTGTGTCTTTTTATTTTTAAATAGAAAAAACTTTCACACATAGCTTGCCACCTTCAATGATTTGTGTATACGTATTTCTAGATCTGTTTTTTTGCAGCCCCTTTAGAGCTACACCCTTTCATTTATATTGGCATTTCTCAATCTCCCTATCAAAATGCGTTACTCTACATGACTGTATTAAATCTCATCTGCCATATACCCACCCATTCCAACAACATAAGTCCTCTTGAATTCTGTTCATTTTCCTCCCCATAGATCACAATACACATTTGTAAGCTTACTCTTTTAATCCAATTCTATTTTTAAATTCTTTGGTTAATTATCGTAGGAACATGTTCCCATAGAGTTTTATCCCCAGAGAAATACATGTTCATTGAGATTACTCAATTATTTCTTTACATGCACGGTTATAGTTTGTATTTAATTTGTCAATCTACTTTAAAATTCATGCTTCTCAAGCCTTTGTATTCGGCTTTGTTTCAAAAGTTTCAAATTCAACAGTATTATGATCACTCTTCCTCAGAAGACCCTTTGCTGTAAAATTGCTAACAGCAGACAAACTGCACTAACACCAACACATCCACAATATGCAGTAGTGACTTTATCAGCCACACCATTAGTGGCAGGACCCCACTGAATCTCTATAACCAATTGATTATAAATAGCCAAAATCAGGTGGGGAGGGAGAAGAGGCTCGTTTTCAGCCTTGTCAAAGAGCCACATATGGAAGATTTTCTCCATCAGACTTTTCGAAGATCATTTCATGTACTTGACAACTGCTAACTGACTTATACCATTATGACGATTTAAATTCCTTAAAGCACATGTTGCTGATTAGCATACCAACTTTCAAAACATGGTAGAAATAAAAGTGATCTTAAATGATACCAAAACCAAAACTGGAATGTCAATTACAGGTACACTGAACACTTCAAGATATCTACAAGATATCCTACATAAATCCCTCAAAAAAGAAATCATACACCATACAAGACAAAACCCCATTCTCTCACCTTTACCTGCTCTATATGACTTGGCTTGGTTGATTGGCATTGGAGTCATAGGAACATGATACATGTGAGTAGTCTAGAGTTGAAAGAAACAGTAATGGTTCAGTCTGGACAGTAAAAATTAAATTTATACAACTCAGCAAGAATACAGAACTTAAACATTAGAGTTAGCATCAATATTGTTTGTGGAGTAGATTTATAAAATTTAATGGTTCATAGGATGTGAGCATCACTGGCAAAAACAGCATTTGTTGCCTATACAGTGTGGAGCTGCAGTAACAAAGCAGGCCAGGCAGCATATTAGCAGCAGGCAAGTTGACGTTTCGGGTCGGGATCCTTCTTCAGAAATGAGGAGAGGGAAGCGAGCTGGAAAATAAAGAGAGAGAAGAGAGGTGGAGCTGGGGAAGGTAGGCACCATCCCACCTGCCTTCCCCAGCCCCACCCCTCCTCTCCTCTCTATTTCTCAGCTCCCTTCCCCCTCCCCATTTCTGAAGAAGGGTCCCAACCCGAAACGTCAACTTTCCTGCTCCTCTAATGCTGCCCAGCCTGCTGTGTTCCTCCAGCTCCATACTATATTGTCTCTGGCTGCAGCATTTGCAGTTCTTACTATCTCAGATTTGTTGCCTATCACATTATACCCATCCATTATTAAACAAGACAGCACTACACAAACAATTTTCCATGTTTAGTTTTAAAACCACACAAAAAAAGATTTCAGGCTGGTTACCTGTACTCCTGGGCTAACTGGAACTGGGTATACCACATTCTGTGCATAACACATTGGCTGATTGTACACCGTCGGAGGATGTTGCTGGACCACAATAGATGGGCTAGGTTGGGCTTGAGGACGTGGCGGTGTTGGTGTGGTTGTTGGCTTAGGCTGTTAAAATTTTAAAAGCAATTCAAGTATCCATTTGCAGAAATGGACAAAATTTTACTGTAATCTTTAATAGCAACATAGACTTATATAGTAGCTTTAGCACAATACTGTCACTACTTCCTGCCAAAGCGGAACAGGAAATCAGTATTGGACCCATCAACAGGTATATTCATGGTGCCACTAACATCAACAGTTGGATGCCCTTGTTTACTGTACGATTGATACAACCTCACCAACTGCTCCCAAACCCTTTGTTGCCTCCCACTCACCAACATCTCACCATTTCCTGCTTCCACCCTGCTCCCCATTGTTGCTGCCGCCTAGATGCCAACCTGCTACCAAACCTTCACTACTGTCTCCTGCCACTGGCCTGCTCCTGACTCCTCACTGCCTCCCACTTACTGTCCCATTTGCCACACCACTCCCTCACTATCCCCTATTCTACGAGGGGATGAGACATGGAAGTAGACATAGGCCATTCAGATCACCAAGTCTGCCCTGCCATTGAGATCATGGCTAATTTGATTATCCTCAACTCCACTTTCCTGTCTTTTCTGCATAACCCGTGATTTCTTTACGGAGTAAAAATCTGTATCTCAGTCTTGCATGCACTTAACAACCCAGCCTCTTAAATTCTGTGAAATAGAATTCCACAGATTCATCCCCTCAGAAGTTTCACCTCATCTCTGTCCAAACTGGACAATCCCTTATTCTAAGATTATGTCCTCTAATCGTAGATTCTCCAAGGGGAAAACAACATCATATTACCTTGTCAATTCCCCCAAAAATCTAAAATATTTTAATAACGTCTCCTCTCATTCTTCTAAATTTGAACGAGTACGGGCCCAACATATTTAATTGCTCCTTTTAAGAAAATCCTAGGACCCGAGGATGTAGTCTTAGAGTTAGGGGCTACCCATCAAATAAAGAGATTATGAAAAGCTGCTGTCTCAGGTTTGCAAATCTGTGGAATGCTTTACCAGAGTTAAGGACATTCAAGGATGAGACAATTTTTTTCATCAGTAAGGGCAAAGGTTATTGGGATAAGACAGGAGAGTGGAGTTGAAATTAGCAGATCAGCCATGATATCACTACCAGCAGAACAGACTCAAATGGCCAAATAGCCTACATGTGCTCCTATGTTTTATGGTCAGTGTAACAGAGAATAGGTCTACAGAGTCCCGAATGCACCTAATCTTAATAGTAAACAGTCAAAGCTGACATCTTGCTTGATAAAAAAGACAGGTCTGGAGAGCAAGGTCACTGGATAAGATCAGCAACTCATTGAAATTCAAGGAAAGGTTTCACCGAAAAGCTTTCTATCCCAGTACACTTCAAACGGAATTGTTCTTTACAATGACAAATTAATATTTCAACTGCAAACTGACAGAAAATGCACTGTCCCACAGAAGCCACAGACTAATGAAACAAATGGTTACAATAACCAATCCAATCTACAGTTTAAGTAAAGCAAACAGAGACCAGAACTGAGATAACAAGGTGTAGAGCTAGATGAACACAGCAGGCCAAGCAGCAGAGGAGCAGGAAAGCTGACGTTTCGGGTCGAGACCCTTCTTCAGAAATGGGGGAGGGGAAGGGGATTCTGAAATAAATAGGGAGAGGGGGAGGCGGATAGAAGATGGATAAAGGAGAAGATAGGCGGAGAAAAGACAGACAGGTCAAAGAGGCGGAGTTGGAGCCAGTAAAGGTGAACATAGGTGGGGAGTTAGGGAGGGGATAGGTCGGTCCAGGGAGGACAGACAGGTCGAGGCGGCGCGAAGAGGTTAGTGGGTAGGAGATGGGTGTGGGGCTTGAGGTGGGAGGAATGGTTAGGGAGGCGGGGACGAGCTGGGCTGGTTTTGGGATGCGGTCGGGGGAGGGGAGATTTTGAAGCTTGTGAAGTCCACATTGATACGCTTGGGCTGCAGGGTTCCCAAGCGAAATATGAGATGCTGTTCCTGCAACGTTCGGGTGGCATCATTGTGGCAATACAGGAGGCCCAGGATGGACATGGCATCCAAGGAGTGGGAGGGGGAGTTGAAATGGTTCGTGACTGGGAGGTGTAATTGTTTGTTGCGAACTGAGCGTAGGTGTTCCACAAAGCGATCCCCAAGCCTCTGCTTGGTTTCCCCAATGTACAGGAGGCCACAATGGGAACAGCAGATACAGTATACCACATTAACAGATGTGCAGGTGAACATCTGTTTGATGTGGAAGGTCTTCTTAGGGCTTGGGATGGGGGTGAGGGGGGAGGTGTAGGGGCTGGTGTAGCACTTGCTGCGGTTGCAGGGAAAAGTGCCGGGGTGGTGGGACTGGTGGGGAGTCTGGAGTGGACAAGGGAGTCACGGAGAGAGTGGTCCCTCCAGAAAGCAGATAAGGGTGGGGAGGGAAAAAATGTCTTTGGTGGTGGGGTCAGATTGCAGATGGCGGAAGTGTCGGAGGATGATACGTTAGATTCGGAGGTTGGTGGGATGGTACGTGAGGACGAGGGGGATTCTGTTTTGGTTATTATTGCAGGAGGGGGTGTGAGGGATGAGTTGCGGGAAATGCGAGAGACACGGTCCAGGGTGCTTTCGACCACTGTGGAGGGGAAGTTGTGGTCCTTGAAAAACAAGGACATCTGGGATGTCCAGGAGTGGAATGCCTCATCTCGGGAGCAGATGCGGCGGAGGTGAAGGAATGAGGAATAGGGGATGGCCTTTTTGCAGGAAGGTGGGTGAGAGGAGGTGTATTCTAGGTAGCTGTGGGAGTCGGTAGGCTTGAAATAGATATCGGTTTCCAGGTAGATGCCAGAGATGGAGACAGAGAGGTCCAGGAAGGAGAGAGAGGTATCAGAGATGGTCCAGGTGAACTTAAGGTTGGGGTGGAAGGTGTTGGTGAAGTGGATGAACTGTTCGAGCTCCTCGTGGGAGCACGAGGTGGCGCCGATACAATCATTGATGTGACGGAGGAAGAGGTGGGGACTAGGGCCAGTGTAGCTTTGGAAGAGGGATTGTATCCTACAAAGAGGCAGGCATAGCTTGGGCCCATGCGGGTACCCATGGCCACACCCTTTGTCTATAGGAAGTGTAGGAACCAGAACTGGTTATTTTAAGACATAATCACTGAGGTTCCTAAACCCTGTGTAGCCCCTCTAAATATTGTCTAAAATTAGTGCAACTCCTGGCAGTCACTAAAGCAATGATGACATTAGATGTGGAAACACTGAAGTTGGTTACTGTAGAATAAGAAAAAGGGGAATGTGGAGTAAAAGTCATCTAATGTAACTCTCTTGGCAGAAAATAATTTTTTTTACTTCAATTGCAAAAAGTATTAATTTTATCACCAAAATCTGGATGAGTAATGTCTCCCTCCTTGTTGAGTAACACGAAATATAGTTTCCCAATGAGCAAGGACTGCCCTAACATGCAGCTGAGAAACCAATTTGCCTCAGAGAATGCAAATTTCCCATAATCAGCCATCTTATGTATTCTAAAGTCAGTATCGTGGTGCCTCATTAACTGACCCAATTTGGAATGTACGGCCATGTCCCTCTCGTGGATGTTACTGAAAATTTCTATGAGACAAAAGACCTATGAGAATCCTCATTTCAGCAAGAAATTAACTATATAGCTATCATTTACCCCCTCACTTCCTTCCGATGTTGGCTGTGGATTCTTCCCTCCCTTGAATCTGAGCACAAGCTCTCTTCAATATTACCACCAGGGGAGAACAAATAGGTAGCACAACTTACAGGAGTATAGAAAGTCTTGGGATTGAACTCTTTAGCATTTGGATTCAATGTAGATTTTCTAACTTGTCTAAAAAGAGAAAGAGAAAATTTTTAAGACTGTACATTATTTCAGGCATCATTGGCAGATGACCATCGACCTAAAGTGGCAACCTTGCTCTATTCAAAGATGCTGTGTAACTTGCCAAGTATTTTCAGCATTTCCTGGTTTATATTTCAGTTTTCCAGCAGCAAGGGTTTTCTGGATTTGTTTAGAAATCAAGTTTACTTTATGGTAAAAGCATTTGGCACTGTCAACTACACATTTTGCAATTTTTAATTTGGTTTCAATTTTAACTCCAACCATTTTTCAAGTGATTTTTAATACAAGGTCTACAACAACTACCAGCCAAACATTAAACAAAAAGAGGGAACAATTAAGGTTCTTGGGATTCTTTGTTTAGGCTTTTCAAACTCAAAGTCACGTCCAAGAGAAAACGGATCATATGGTAATTTTGCTACAGAGAATCTACAACACAAGAAATCCACCTCATCTGTGCCATCTCTTCAACTGCAGCTGTCATAATTGTCTTTCTGATCTTCCCTCTACTCTTCTGCAAATTTCTTACTTATTTGAAGCCATCTTTAATGCTGTTAAAGCATTTTTGTGTCAATAATGTGAAAAAAGTGTTCCAATAATCAACAATGGGGAAAAAGCTTTCAAATCATTCCTTTGTTGTTTTTGTGATGATGCAGTCTATATAGTCCTGTTAAGGGCAGTCATGACATTTTATACAGCCAACGAGGTGCTGGCTCAAAAATTGTCAGTCAGACTGAATATGAAGTTTAGAATTACAAAGCTTGCGCACTTCAAAATCAGAGCAAACAGCTACAAAAGAAAAAGTACTGTCAAAGCATTTTAAAATGGAAACCACCAAGTTGAAAATGACATTGATACGAGTATTTTAAGGATAACACCTTGCTTTCAACATTTACCAAGAGCTTTGCCACAACCACCGAGCACTTCAAAAACACTGTACAATTACTGCTTGTGGTGAAGTTGTAAGCTTTGGGCTGGATTTTCCAATCTTTGAGATTGCCACTTACGAAAGAAAGAAGCTGTGCATTTCTGAGAGGAAATTCCAAACTCAGTTCCTTCAGAAATGTGGAGCTGTACTTCCATTCTGACAGTTATAGAGGCAGAGAGCCGTACAACATGGAAACAAACCCTTCGGTCCAACTTGTCCAGATATCTTGAATTAATCTAGTCCCATTTGCCAGCATTTCGCCCAAATCGCTCTGAACCCTTCCTACTCATGTACCCATTCAGATGCCTTTTAAATGTTGTAATTGTAGTAGCCTCCACCACTTCCTCTGGCAGTTCTTTCACAATGTAGAACTATCAGGAGAAGGCAACCCATGGTCTCTTTTCCCAGCAGTGAGCTGGTGTATTCTGAAATTTAAAAAAGGGTCCTGACAGCCACTTTTACAGCTACTGAGAACCAGTAATTACGTAAAATGATTGCAACCTTGGCCAGGAGGGTTGGCTGCCAGTTTAAGAGGTAGGTGGCAAGGTACCAGATAAACGTAGGGTGCCAGCTGGGTAGGATGTCAAGGGAAGTGGGGTAGGATGACATGGTGCAAGGTGGAAAGGGTGCCAGGTAAGTGATGTAATGTTTAGATCAGGATGGGTAGGTGAAATTGGATCCAGTGAGAGGCAGGGATTCAGGGGCCCGGAGGTGGGTTCTGGCCCAGTCATGTTGGGTCTGGTCAGAGTTTGCAACTTCGTCCCGGGGTTGCTCAGGTCAGTGTCTGAGGGTTGTAAGTAGTCTGGGGGAGTTCTAATTGGGGTGTATGATGCCACTATGAGGTCTGTTGAATAGTTACTTAGGAGTTAGACTATGTACTTAATAGCCTAATATTCCCTGATCAACTATTTTATCTAATTACATCAGAACCCGCCAAATGATCCTATTTAAGTTGATACTTTGGAGGGCTCCAAGCGTAGAGATAATGAATAACCTGCCAGAGGTCCAGTGGGAGCCAAAACTCCCATCTACTGTAGAACAATGATCGTGCAGGAAGGAGGTAGCCTGCGCCCTTACACCTAGCATCTGATCATGCAATGTCACCAAATTAAGAAATCAGACTCCTGTAAGTTTTATTTAAATTGGGAGGATAATATGAAAATTTGTTGCCCACAAACTTCTACACAATTGTTTCATCCTGGTTGAATTATTTGTAATATACAATTTCTGGGTGTGCATACGTACTCTGGTGTACCTTCCTTTTTATCCTCCTTTTCTTCTTTTTCCGGCTTACTAGTTGGACCAGTAGTCTGGACTGCCTGGGAAGTTACATCTGGTCCTCTCTTCTGTTCAGAGCTGATTATATTCGGGGAAGCACTGGGACTGCTTGGTTTGCTGCTGCCATTGCTGGTGTTTGCATTTGAACTGCTCTCACTGACAGATTCTTTGCTAGCCGGTTCAATCACTGTTATCTTCTCCTTGATTGGATCCCTAGATTGGTTATCTATACTCTCTCTGGACTTGAATTGATCCACAACTGGATCATTGATTGGAGTAGTCTGCAACTAAGAACGGTACAAGTTTAAGTATATAAGCCAACATAAAAAGTCTCAGCATTTGCATAACAAGTCACCTAAATCTGAGGACAATGCTATTTAACACTAGTGGTCAAAAGTTTATTATATTCAAAGTTGCATTACTTAGCCCTATTATGTAAAAATATTATTGTTACATTTCAAATATAACATTGTAATATGCAACATGGCAAGTTCAGCAAAAGGAAAAGGAATGCATTTTTGACATCATAAATGAAAACATAAAAATGCTTTGGTCAAGAAAAATTGAGAAGTTGCTCTAGGAATAACTTGACAGGCAGCAACAGTCTGGAAAAAGGCAACACTGAGAACTCCTCAAAGTGCATTATAACTGTTGAGTGAACAAGTAAAATACTAATTTAAAAGCAACAAAAATCAAAGTACTTTCTTAAAAACAAAAGGTGCAGCAGGGATGGGAATGAAGTCAATGGCAATTGTTTAACTGGTGGGTTTGTAAAGAGGTAATTTCTTTTGCTCCACAGAAGGATTCCCAAACTTGGGCTGCAACCCCCAATGGGGTCATGAGGTCATAACTGGGTCATAGATGTTGCTCCTCCAAAGGTAACTGTGGAGGGGAGACTGCCAGGTCTGATGTCCACCTTGACATGATTAATAGAACAAGTCTGTGAAGAATTTGGCAAGTCCGTCCTCAGTTCTACAACAAAATTGAATTTAACTTTGTGAAAAGGAATGATACTGAAAAGTACTCACTCTAAAATCTTCCCTGAATTTTTTTAAATCTGCTATTTGTTTCTTATGATCTGAAACCAATGGAGATGTAGCTGTAAACAGAAAACAAAAAATCATTTGGAAAACATGTTAGTTGTACAAGCCTGAAATTAAGACAATTGAACTATTTTGAACCAAAAAAATTGCATTTAAGTAATTATGCTGTATAATAAGAGGCTGGGGCACAAAAGTATTTTATAAATTGCATGTGGTTAATTTTGTTTTGTCTGACACTCTTTCACAGAGTAGCAGTGTATTAACTTCTAACTGGGTGTGGAAGATTGAATGAGCATGTTATCTGTAAGGATAAGTACTGATGACAAATGCAACAATTAAATTAATGATGGCAACGCCAAACTGCATAAGTACACAACTGAAAGGTTTTACAAATGGATAGGTATCTCCTTTTAGAAGGGCTGTGAAAAACTACAATTAAGAATTCCTACAATATTCCTATATACGAGGGAGAATCCTCAAAGTTTGAACTACGTTCCTAAAAATCCTGACTTTTAAGTGAATCGTGTATTCTTTTAGGAATCTGCGCTATGGCTAGTTAGGTTTTTTTAGACATTTCTTGCCCAGAAAACAAAATGCATGTTTAGATACTACGTGATACATGAGCAGCACTGAATTCCTAGTTGAAATAACTTGCAAAACAGATACATTACTCAAAATATGGTAAATAATAAATACAAAACATTTAAAACAATTACTCACTACAACACAAATTGACCAGGTTCCACCTAGCGACAGAACCTGACTGGTGCAGCAAACTGAAGTCTTAGGTCTACTTGCACCAACCAATGTCTGCCACCAGATGCAACACAATACTTTGGTGCGAGTTCGGAATGGGAGCCAGGAGAAGAGATTGAAGAACAGACCCTGAGCACAAAGGTAAAAACAAAGGCTGTTGAGACAAGGACAAGGACGGAAGAAGAAAGAGGAATGGAGGGCAAGGGTAAAGGCGGAAGCACTACAAGAAAAGTCACGTGCACGTGTAGACCCAAAATGGAGTAAGTCTGTGCAAACAATATTAAAAGTGAAACAGGCAATGTTAAATGGACATATGGTCAATACTTCATTAACATTAAAGTGTAATCACATTAAGTCAACGTTAGATAGGAACTTACTGTAGACTCGTGTAATACTAACCCTTGATTCCTGGTTTGGTTAAGCTAGGGGGAGTATTACAGATTTCAACAGGCTTTGGATTCTCTTTGTTTACAGAGGGGGAATTCTGCTTCTGTTCCTGAAGTCTGGTTTCCTTAGCTGTAAGTGGACAAATGCATCCAGAATTATTTCTGAAATAAATTTATGCATAATGCAGAAGTTATAAAGCAAACAGCTTTTTTGTGCATGTCTAGCAGAAATAACAGTTTTCAATTAAGCATCCTAATAATTCAGCCTCAGCCACAATTTCATTAAAAGTCCATGCACTAGCTCAAATGCAACTCTAACAAAAGTCAACAGGTGATTTATGTGGAGTATACCAACATTTAACAGACAGTTAGATCTTGTCACATTGCTACTTACTTAATAAAGACAACTCCTTTCTTTGGGAGAGTTTTAACATTGGATTCGACAGTGCATGAAACAATAATTCAGTGATGCAGACTGAAGGAACCAAGCTGAGCAAACTGAATAGATGCTGATATTTCTGTTGTGAAACAATCAACTATTTTTCAACGTGTCATCCGTGAAGCATATAACAATTAAACTTAGTCATGTGTTTTACTAGAAATGTCTGAAGTCTAAAAATTAAGATTGCTGATTTTAAGTAGGATAATTTGACTGCAATTGACTTTGCCAGCTTGGGTACTCTCAGCATCCAGCATTAAGTCATAAACAGAACTTCAACAAAGAACTCTCTTAGAATGTAGAAACTTAAAATACACATTTTTTTGGGGGGAGGGTGGAAGCACGAATGTAACTAACAGTTGTAAAACAGTATTACAGGTTTCATTAGACCTGTGTATGGAAAGATTTAACAGATTGACTATGAGTTTACAGCAGTGTTTGCTAAATGGATGCAATACTTGATAATTGTGTGTTATGGACCAGACCAAATCCCCGTAAAACATGTCAAGGAGATAGCCTAGACCCTAACTTTTTCTTATTTTAAAGACAAGTGCCTGGGGTTGCATTCTGGATGCAATTTGATTGGTCAAAGTTTTGCTTGAAGCAAAACAAACTTTATTCAAACACTATGGTTACAATACAAATAAAATAAAGGATTGGGAAAAGCTTAAGTCTATTGGAAAACTTAACAGAATGATAAATTGTTAAACTTCTAAACAACAACTGGTCCAATATCGTAACATCTCAAACATACCCTTGGCAAAGGCAAAGTCAGTAAAATAGATTGCCTGACATGCAATTCTAGCAGGAAGAAAGCCCAAGCTTTTAGCTGTAGCAAAGCAAGAGAGATATGTAGCAACTTTTACAACCCCAAAGCTACTGAAAACAAACTAAAATCCTGGTTCTGTGGAAGCTTGACTCTACCCATTCAGGCTGCTTCAATTCTTCCAATTTTAAAAAAATCCCAAGGCCTCACAAAGCTGTTTATTTTATTGCCTTGAAGCAGTCCACTCATCATCTCTGTCTCTCAAAATCTCTTCATAGGAAGAAACCAGGACAAAATAAACCTCAAAGCCATAGTATTGTCACACATGGATACAATTTAATTGCAATGATATAGCTGAGTTGAATAGAACTGTTAATTATAACAAATGGAATTAAATCAGTGAGGCCGGCTGAAATCGAACAGGTAATCTTGACAAGCTCAAAAAGAACCAATAGAAGAGAAGGTGGGGGCGTGCAAACCAACCAAAAACTTATCATGAACCAGACTAATCAATCCACATTCAGATTTCAAAATCTGTATTCCCATTTAATGCCTGGAAAAAGGTCAACAGTACAGTGCTCCAAATAAAATGTCAGAAGGTGTGTGTTAAAATGCAACACTCAAACAATGACTGAAGATACACAAAAGAAGTCACAGGGAATAAAGCAGGAAGATCTCACACCTAGGGCACCTATAGTCATCACTGATAGATCAATCCGACGGTGCAACTATGTGATTTAACTGTAACAGGTTTCATTTAAAATTCTCAATAGTACTGTTGGATTTATTGCAAGATTCAGAATTACATTTGAAACAGTCTCCAAACTTGGATCTAGCATCTTTCCATCTACAAAAAACCAAGAACATGCAACAAACAAATCCATTTCAGCTGGGATGCCTTCCTACAGTGCACCTTGGCCTCTTCAGCCATTGTCATATTATTGATAGATTCTCTCAAAAGTATCTCACATGAAGTTACCAAGTGTTGGTGTGGATTGTTGCCATTGTTGTCAAACAACTATAGTGGTCCCAAATTTAAATGGCACAACTATCTATACCCGCGGTTGCTAATACTATTGTACTTTTTTGGATTCACCCATTTTTTAAAGTAGGGATAGAACATCACGTTCATTGGGGTATTGTTGAATTTGATGCAGTTCATGATTTACAGCTGGAATAATTTGTAATAAATTAAGCATGAACATTTCTAGTGACTTTTATATTTTATGGTCTCAACAGGTGAAAGTCAGCCCTCCCAAGAAGAACTGAAACATGAGCAAATATCTCGTATACAATGGTTTATGGGTTTCCAGGTTTAAATCAATGGCTGTTGGAAACATATATACTCATCTGAATGTAGAGAGAGAAAGTGTGTGTAGTTTTATTCTCCTGGTCACAGGAAATATATTAATGCAAAAGAGGGAGCACGTAATGAAGATCTGTCAGACTTGTTCCAGGATGGCAGACTGTCATATGAAGAAAGATTGGGCAAGTTGAGACTGTATTCTCAAGAATTTGGAACAAATGCAAATTGATCTCATTGAAACCTGCAAAAATAGTTAATATAATGGACACGGCTGATGCAGGTAAGATGTTTCCTCTGGGTGGGAGAAAGGAACTAGGGGCACAAAGTAAAAATAAGGGAATGTAATTTATTTGAGATGAGAATTTTTTTTAAACGCTTGTGGAATATTTGGAATTCTCTACCTCAGACGGCTGTGGAAACTCAGTCTTGAGTATAAATAGAGATTGATAAACATGATTATTAATAGCGTAAAGGGTTTTGAGGACGTAGTGGATAAGAGGCATTAAAGTGTTCAATCATGATTGTTAAATGATGGAACACGCCTAGTGGCCTGCTCCTGATCTTATATATCTATAAAATATAAGAATCTCATTTATAATTCAAACTTTCTTCAAAAATAATCATACATTGTCTTTAGAAATATATCACAAGTTCAGGTTGGAAACTAAATTGGTATCCAGCCCTCACCCGAGCAATTCTACATTCGATGGATTCAAATCCTCAATGTATTACTAACAGCTTACCAAGGAGGAAAATTCATTAAGACACCATCCTCACTTAAAACGTGAGTAGTGAGCACCATTAATGTAAAAAATATTCTACTGTGCTTCGTAAAGACATCCATAATAAATGGATTTTAATCCAAAGAGGGGGAACGCAAGAAAAATTTTAGATCTTTTCAAAAAGCAAACAACAATTTCCAATAAAATTAAGCAATGGCTCTTTCTTTTTTAGAGAAAAGTACAACACCCACTTTTATTGTAGATTCATAAGTGTAACAGCAACTTATTTTCTATTTAGCATCTTTGACATGTCAAAATGATCCAAGGTGTTTTGCAGCACTGTTAACTAATTTAATACTGATCCAGAGATATTAGGTCTGGTGACCAAAAGCCTGGGCAATGAGATCTTATTGAGCACCTTAAATGAAGGAGGAATTCCAGAAGGAGTGATGGCAATGGTAGAAGATTATGTCACCAACATTAAGGCTCTCTACTATCTTCTGGTTGGGTGGAACTGCACTCACCTGCCTCTATTTTTGATCTATTTATAGTCAGAAAATCACCTTCAACGGCTCCTCTTCCGGCCCTATTAACCTCTAAGGTTTTGGAGTAGATTTGTAGCTTGGGTTGTGGGTGTTGAGGTCGGTTGGCTCGCCGAGCTGGTGTGTTGTTCCGCAGA